CTGTCTGAGCACACGAGCAAGCAGCATACCTACCAACCCTGGGTAAATGCAGCAAAATAAAGCACATTATAACATATGTATAATCATGTGACATGAGCTCCTTGGACAATAAAACGGCTAAGACAATAGTCTATGCAAATCTTGGGATTCATGCATCCACAAGTACATTGAAAGACAACTATAATTAGAAAACTGGAATTTTTTCTTATTCTTTGTTCCACTTATGCTCGAGGAAATATGATTGCGAATTTGTCAGTAAGTTTTATCAACTTCTTATAAGCTGATACTTTTATTCATATGCATGAAGATAAGAGTCTAAGATAATCTTGTTTGCTGATGTTTAACAAAAACTCTACACTTCATATTGTTGAATGTGTGAATTGTGAAAACATGCAGCTTAAGCTGCAACTTGTAATTATTGGTAAAATTTACAGCAAGCTTTCTCGGTCTTACCTGTCCAAAGATCTTAAATTGCTAGGAAATGATAATACATGCATGGGACTCAAACCATATAATATTTATATGGAAAACATAACACATGCGTAGAAAAAGGCACCAAAGTAGGTGGCAGATATTGTTTACCTGTTCCAGCACCAAGTTCTAATGACACAATTCCATCAAGTTCAGATGAAATGCACATTTTATGCAATACAAAATCAGATAATACTAATTCTGCTCTCCAAACCTAAAAGGCAAAAGTGAATAGATATCAGGATGTAGCATATACGCTGAACCAACATTTTTAGATAGCTGGGTTCACCTGCAAACCAACGTTAGGAATTGATGATGTGATATAATGCTGGATGGTGACAAGAAAACAAGAAGATAATTCTGCAGATTTAGATTTTTGAAAAACAACTCTTCAGAATTTATCAAATGAATAAATGCTAAACAAACAGGTCCTTCTTTTAAGAAATTTTCTAGTCTCTACTTTGACATAATTCATTAAAATTGAAGGTTGATTGGTCAGCCAGAAGAATCAGCCCTAATCAAACAAATAAAGATAGATATAATCCAAAAAGTACCCTAATTGAGTTGGCCTAAATTGAGGCAAGATTCTTTCCACAAGTTATTTCCACAAAATATAAAGAACCTATTATTTCACACAATAGAGTCCTTGCCCCAACCGCCATCATGCAAGATGAAGATAAAATTTATATAATATATATATATACATATCTATGGTGATGACAGTTACAAACTTGACCCTTGCTCATTATCCGACCCAACTTTTCTTGTCCCTAATTGAGACAAACCCCAACTTTCTTTTAAAATATTTGGTAATTGGCATCAAGCAAACCCCCCAAAAAGAAAAATTCCTGCAATCCCTCCTTTTTTTTCCTTTCTCTTTCTAAAATCCCTAGAGGTGTGGCTGACAGAATTTAGGAAGTGACTTAAATCTTTCCTCTGGTCTGGGTTGAGTGAGTCAAAGAAATAAAATTTAAGGCCCTGTTTGGGCACGGGATATGGCTTGTGCTATGAGTGAAAATTTATTTAAATAAATTTTTCA